ATTGATTGAGTTTGCGGTGCCTTATCAAGCTCTCGCCGTCGTTGTTGCTTTTTTTTTTTTTTTTTTTTTTTTTTTTTTTTTTCACGAGACGAGGGCAAGAGGGAGGGTCACCCTCATATAAATTGTGTCTTTTTTTAACGGGGATGTCGCCACCGTACACCTCAATTACCGCCAAACGTCCTACATGCTTAGGATGGGCCGATGGTGCGGCAGTCCCGTCTCTCGCGAGTGTAAATTTTTTTGTTTTTGTTTTTTGTTTCCTTCTTTTTTAAGTTATTCCTGTTTCTTTCTTTGCAATCTTATTTACGTATATGTCTGCGTGTTAACTTTTTGTTGTTGTTGTTGTTGTTATGGCTTTTTCTCAGTGAAAGCGAAGGAACGAGAAGCAATAGCACACAGAGAAAATATATATAAATATATATATAAGAAAGAAAGAAACAAAAAAAAGGTCCATCAATAAAAATATAAGGAGAAAAAAAAAAGGAATTTTTGAAAAAGATGGCTATTTCAGAAAAGAAGTGTCTTTTTATTCGTGTGGCATTGTATTTGCTCTTCATTGCGGCATACGCGGCGGGTGTTGTTGTATTTATAATAATCTTCAGTAATTATTGGGCGGCGGCTGGCTTTTTCCTGGCCTGCATTTTTATTGCAATAACGACCGTGCTGTACGTTGTCCCGGACAAAAAATTGACTGCGCGCCTTCCTCCTGGAAGCTTTAGCCGTATTATTTTTCAGTCGACCATTCTGATTGGCACCTTGGGGCTTTTTGCTGTTGCTCTCTATCTGCTGGCCCGAGGCATTATGCTGAAGCAGCGCTGGACGGGGAGTTCGTACTTCTGCTCATTTATTGCCTTCATGATGGCCGCAAAGTGGTGCTATTTTATTGGATATCGCGTGCACGGGTTGCGCAATGACACACGGACGATCGGCAAGGCTGATCCAGAGGAAATTAAGAAATTCTTTGAGGACGTTCCAGACGCCTGGTCCAACGAAAAGAACGCAGATATTATGTAAGACGAATTACATTGCCAAATTTAAATACATTCAATTAAGAGCTACTATGCTAAAAAAAAAAAAAGTAAAAAAAGTTAACGAGCAACTACTTTAGCAAGTCTTTCTCTTTCTCTCTCTCTCTCTCTTTTTTTTTTTTTTTTGTTTTTTGTTTTTTTATTATTGGTTAGCATACCTCTTTCTTGCGTAAAGGATGAATCTATCTGTTTACGTATATTTATATATATATTTAAATGCATACGTGGTAGTGTGGAGGACAACTGAAGAAAAAGGGTTTTATTTCCAACTGGGAGGGCAAATATTCAATCAACTAAAATAAGCCCAAAATAACGGCAATGAAAGAAAGAAAGAAAGAAAAGAAAAAAAAGCATTTCTGTTTTTTGTTTTATTTTGGTTCTGTTGAAGTGTTTTTGTTTTGTTTTTTGTTGTTGTTGTTCTTTACGACTGGGATAATAATTGAGGTTTTTTTTTTTTCTTGCGCAGCTCTGGTTTTTTGATTTCATTATTATTATTATTTTTTGTTGTTGTTCGTTTGTTGCTGTTTTTCTTTTTTCTCTTTCTTTCTCTCACGTTGCTCGTTGGATTTACGCATGGCTTTTTGGTCCGAGGTGAATTTTTCTGATGGGCCCATGCACGAGGTCTGTGTGTGGTTTGGCGCTTCTTGTTTTTTTTGTCGCCGCACTCACCTCTCGGGTAGCATACATTGAACTGGACCTTGGCGAAGCGGATGACTGTGGCCCGCGTCCTTTATGCAGTTCACATCCAACCCTCGTGAAGAGGCTGCTGTGCTTTTTTTTTTGTTATCCCGTAAACGTTGACGGGAGCGACTACAAGAAGCATGTGTTGGATCGATTGAGGCGACTTACGCAGCGAAACTTGAAGGGACAGCCGCATGTGGTTGAAGGTGTCATACGAAGCATTGCCGCCAAACTTGAAAATCCAGACAAACCACTGGTGCTTCACTTTGCGGGTGACAATGGGGTGGGGAAAACAACACTGGCGCAACTTATTTCTTTATCTTTGGGTCTCCGGTGCCATGACACCGCGTGTGAGACGGGTGACTCCACCCTGGTGCTCTCAGGTGTTAGCTACGATGGTTACAGTGTGCAGGAGTTTCGTCGGGTCGTGATTCCAAAGGTTGTACAGCACGTTATAAAGTTCCCAAAAAATGGTGTCATCATCATCAACGACCTTGGAGCTTTGCACCCAGATCTCGTGCGTGTCCTCCTCCCACTGTTAGGCAGGGCGACCTCCTTCCCTGAGGCTCCCAGCGTGTTTCTAAGCCGTTTATTTGTCATTGTGACTACAGATTTTGGAAGACAGGGCCGAACACAGGGCAAGAGTCTCACTGAAATGCGCCGTATCGTTGAGGATGATTTTAAAGGTCTCTATAGTCAATTGTCATCATCTATGATTGAAACATTTCCATTTCTTTCAGCGGCACTGGATACAGCCAAGGAGATTGTCTGGCTGACCATCATGAGCTATAAATGCCGGCACAGAGAAGCAATCCGAGAGTTGCTCGTAAGCGAAGATGCGATTTTGTGGTTGGTTGATTTTGTACGTGATGATCTTCCGATGGAAAACGGTCGCTGCGTCGCTAATGCTGTATCCGCATTGGTGGGTCCGGGAATTTTGCGTCATTTGCTGGAAAACCCTTCAGCCCCGGTAACTCTGCGCGTTGACATCAACGATAATGGCTCAGTTACAGTTCTTCCAGTACGAACCGATTAGTGACTGGCAGGTTGATTCACGAGGAGGAGCAGTAAGTTGAAGGAAACCACCGGCGTATTTGTGGGAAGATCCTGCGATGTTCCCCTAACTGAGCTGTGCTCTTTGTGTGTGTGCTCTTTTTGTGTGTGCCTTCCCGGGAGAGCGTGTTTTCTTATTTACCTCTTCGTATTTTGTTTGTTTGTTTGTTTTTCTGATTGTCTTTATTTTCTTCTGGATATGTGCCGCACAGGAACCCCATTGAAGCAATGCCCCCCAAGTTTGACCCCAACCAGGAGCTTATAGTCATTGTGAGGGCCGTCGGCGGTGAAGTGCCTGCCACGGCGTCGCTCGCTCCGAAGGTCGGTCCGCTCGGCCTGAATGCCAAGAAGATCGGCGAGGACATCGCCAAGTCCACGAAGGACTGGAAGGGTCTCAAGGTCACATGTGAGCTGCGCGTCAAGAACCGTGTGGCCACTGTGCGTGTCACGCCCTCCGTTGCCTCTCGTTTGATCCGCGCCCTGAAGGAGCCGCCGCGTGACCGCAAGAAGGTGAAGAACATCAAGCACAGCGGCAATATCCCCTTCTCGGAGATTCTTAAGATTGCAAAGGAGGCGGCGCCCAACTCCATGGGGGCCAACATGAAGTCCGTCGTGATGGAGGTGCTCGGCACGGCACTTTCCGTAGGCTGCACAATCGATGGCGAGAACCCGCGGGAAATACAGGACAAGGTGCGTATTGGCAAATTGAAGGTTCCGAACTGATTCATGTGTTTTGTTTTGCTTTGTTTTGTTATTTCTTATTTTCCTTCCTCTTTCTCTGGTTTCCCTCGGGCTGAAATAAATTGCCCGGGTGCATGAATAGAAATTGAAGACACTTCGAATGTCAGACGTTTGTTTTTATTTATTTATTTATTTATTTATTTTTTTTTTTTTTTTGTGTGTGTGTGTGTCTTTCCTTTTTGCCTGCTTCTTTCTTACCACACTTGCATAGAGCACAAATGGGGACGATTAGCCGTCCAGGAGGCATGCGGCCCAAGTGGCACAAGAAGCGCATAAAGCGCTTAAAGCAACGACGCCGGCGTATGCGTCAACGTTCCAAGTAAGCACAGCAAATTGCGGCACCTCCTTATTTGTTCTGTCTGGACAACTGCGAGTCATCAAAGGACCCTATCATCTTTGTGTTTTCGGTTTTGGTCTTTTTTTTTTGTTTTGTTTTGTTTTTAACAAAAAAATATTATTGTTGTGCGAAGTTGATTCCTAAAATGCGGCACGGTGGTTTTTTCTTTTATGTTGATTGCTTTCTTTTTCTTTCAATGTTTTTTTTTTCCAATTTGCCTTTTTGCCTGCTTCTTTCTTACCACACTTGCATAGAGCACAAATGGGGACGATTAGCCGTCCAGGAGGCATGCGGCCCAAGTGGCACAAGAAGCGCATAAAGCGCTTAAAGCGACGTCGTCGGCGTATGCGTCAACGTTCCAAGTAAGCATGAAGGTGGTATGATGCCACTTATCCTCTTTCGGTCCGGGGAGGAGAAAGAAGGCGTTTTGGGTGTGATAGCCCGAATGTGCTTGTTGTTCGTGCTCTTTTTTTTTTTTTTTGCTTCGTTTTTGTTACTCCCCTTTTTTGCTGCTTCTTGTTGCTTTTGTTTTGTGCTCTTTGCGAGTGGTGGAGTTCTCCTGGGACTTTTTTTCCTTCTTTGCCTGCGCTCATACTTTGCCTGCGTTTTTTTTGTTTTGTTAGATAGGAAATGGGGACGATTAGCCGTCCAGGAGGCATGCGGCCCAAGTGGCACAAGAAGCGCATAAAGCGCTTAAAGCGACGTCGTCGGCGTATGCGTCAGCGTTCCAAGTAAGCACAACTCATGGTTTCTGAGGCCCAAAGCCGCATCACTTTTTTTTTTCTTTGAACCAGCCGTTCTTTTTTTTGTTTTGTTTTGTTTTGATGGTTTGTTTGTTTTTGTTACCGTTCCATTATTATTATTATTGTGGAATGTATTTGATTATCTGTGCTCAGGCACATCTGTTGCTTGTGTATTTGCTTTTTTGGATTTTGAAATGGAGTTGTGCCGTTTTGCGTGTTTTTTTTTTTTTTTTTTTTGGTCTTCTTGTTTTCTTTTGTATAATTTTGTTGTTGATGGTGTTGTTTTGCTTTTTATTTCTCCGATGGCGTGTGCTTGAGTGGTGTTTGTGAGGACTAGCAGAGAGGATGCACCCACGTGCTTCAGGGCAGGGTGTATTTCCACGCTATGGTGGTGGGTGGATGCATCAGTTTGGTCATGTGTATGCCCTCCAACAGGAATTACTAAACCCAGAGGCCAGCAATTGGTTTCGGGCGGTTGAACTTTGGCACACGGCGCGTCACGAAGGAGTTGCGCTCAATTCTGCTCATTACACATCCATTCTTAGGCAGTGCGTGCAGCCGAAAGCGTGGGAAGCCTCACTGAGGGTGCTTCGTCAAATGCAGCGGGAAGGCATCCGCCCAGACGTCGTGGGAGTTGGCTGCGTACTGGCCACATGCGCCGATGCCGACAGAATTTCTGAGGTGGAGGAGGTGTTCGATGAGTTTAGTGGGAAAATGGCCTTGGACAGCGTTTGCTACCTTGCATTGATCAAGGCAAAGATGGCTGGTGGTAGATGGAAGGAGGCAATAGCAGTTGGTAAGAGACAGGAGGCGGATGGCTTGCATTTTCTTCCATATACGTACACGCACCTCCTTGAGGCCGCGAAGGAGGCGGATGACGGGGAGTTTGGGCTTGAATTGGTGAGGCGCATGAAACGGGAGCAGTGGGAACTGTCGGAGAGGGGACGTGTTGCCTTCAAGAAGTTGTGCGTTCTTCACAATTGGGAAGCGGAGTTTGACCGGCTAGCGGGGTTTAGCGAAGAGGGTGTGTCGCGTCCCCAGCTGCCGGAGAGGTCTTTGTAGAAGAGGCTGTCGAGTGTCAAGAGAAAAGAATAAAATAAGAAAGTCGCTGCGTCTTGTGTGTGTGTGTGTGTTTTTCCTTCAAATCGCTCCCCTTGTTTTACGGCTTGTCATCATCAGCCTCGATGCGTTGTTGCTTCTTCTTCCTTGCTGCGTGTAGGTAACAAATGCCCAGCAAGAAGAGCCGCCGAAAGACTTCTCTAGCACGGCAAGAACGCGAATGCAGTGATTCACCCAAGAGCACTTTTGAGCGTCACTCGTCCAATGAGCCTGCGAAGACTGGTGTTTGCGCTGTGGTGGCTAAAAAGGAAGTGAAGGTGAAGCCGGCACCGGAGAGAAGAGGGACGCGAAAAACATCGAAGAATGAAGAGGCGGAGTCAAGGTACAAATGGCCGTGCCGCATATTGGGTGTGCTTTGTGCCCTTCTGCTGGCCTCCGCCCACCTCTACTTTAGAATAGGCGCCGATCGCGACTTTCCATGCGAATGCATTGCGTCGGGTAGTGGGCCATTGGTGTCTGCACTTGCGAGTAAACGTCTGGGTCTGACTGGTGTTCATCTTCACACCGCGGATCGTGCTGCGGTGGAAAAGGAGCTTACGACCCTTTTGACATGTGTAGTCCTTCACCGACTGACGGGTGTCTTTAAAGATGTCACCGAGCTTTCCACGCGCCTGCGGAAAGATGCCGCCAGCGCCAAGTGTATTATTTGGTTCATTCAAGACGTGGCGGTGGTGCGTGGTGTGGCAAACTCGCTCAAGGAGCTCCTCGAGGAAAACACGCTGCGGGGCGATGAAATTTTGCCGGAGGGCTCCCGAGGCCTTTTTGTGTTGGTGTCCGACAAAAGTCGCCAGGAGTTGACCGACGTTCTCCCCCACCGTGTGGTTCACATGTTTCACACGATGACTGTGTAGCGGGGGTGAACGAAGGAAAGAGAAGAGGAAAAAAGAAGCAGGGCCGGAGGGTGTCGATGCGTGGAGTGGAACAGCCACATGTAGAGGTGTTGTGGAGTTGGTTGTCGCCTTTTGTCCCCCCTTGTTTTGAGAATTGAAGTGGCGGCACGTGTGTTGTTTTCCCACGATTCGCTGGTCGTCGCGCTCCATCCCTCACATAGCCCTTTCATTCCATTCTTCTATCCCTTTGTTGCTGCTGTGTGTCGTGTTACCCCCGCCGCCGCCGACTGCGCAGTCAAGCAAAAAAAAAAGGAAAAGGAAAAAATTAAGCACAAAAACACTTAATAAAAAGAAGCAGAAGGATGTTTTGTACGGCTTTGAGGTTCGCCAATCCCGCACTCCGCCAAATTGCAGCGGCGCAGATTGCTGCCGTGAAGGAGGCGGGCACGTACAAAAGTGAACGTGTGATCACCTCCAAGCAGTCTGCCCTGATCGATGTTCAGTCCTCCACCCAGCCCCTGCTGAACTTCTGCGCCAACAACTATCTTGGCCTCGCCGGGAACCCAGAGGTGATCCAGGCCGCGAAGGATGCACTTGAGACCCATGGCTACGGCCTGGCATCCGTGCGCTTTATTTGCGGCACAACCGACATCCACAAGAAGTTGGAGGATACCATGACGAAGTTTCTTGGAACCGAAGACACCATTCTCTATCCGAGCTGCTTTGACGCGAACGGCGGCGTGTTTGAAGCCCTGTTGAATGAACAGGACGCTATCATTTCGGACGCGCTAAACCATGCGAGCATCATCGACGGTGTGCGTCTGTGCAAGGCGGAAAGGCACCGCTACGCCCACATGGACATGGCAGAACTTGAAACCGCTCTTCAGAAGACGCAAGACAAACGCATCCGGCTCATTGTGACGGATGGTGTCTTCTCCATGGACGGTGATGTCGCGCCGCTGGACAAGATTGTGGCTCTGGCCGAGAAATATAACGCAAACATCATGGTTGATGACTCCCACGCCACGGGATTTATGGGTGAGGGTGGCCGCGGAACGCCGACTTTGTTTGGTGTCGTGGACAAGGTTGACATTCTCAACACAACCCTTGGAAAGGCACTTGGTGGTGCCAGCGGTGGCCTGTCGTCGGGTTCCAAAGAAATTGTGGAGGTTCAGCGACAGAAGGGTCGTCCGTACCTGTTCTCCAACACAATTGCGCCTGCCGCCGTTGGTGGGTCGCTGAAGGTGATGGAACTTCTTCAGAACTCATCCTCTGCCCAGAAGAAGCTACAAGAGAACACGCGGCTGTTCCGCACAGAGATGAAGAAGGCGGGTTTGACTCTCACCGGCCACGAGGAGTGCCCTATCGTTCCTGTGATGCTCTATGACGCCCGCATTGCCGGTGAGTTTGCGTCCCGGATGATGTCTCAAGGAATTTACGTCATTGCCTTCAGCTACCCAGTCGTGCCAAATGGAAAGGCGCGCATCCGCGCGCAGCTCTCCGCGGCGCACAGCACCGAAGATGTGATGCGTGCTGTTGAGGCATTCAAGACAATCAAGAAGGAACTCAACGTGTGATTTTTTAAGAATAACAAAAGTAAACATAAAAAATATAAAATGAAAAGACGCTTGTTTCTGATTTTACGTGCATACTAGTGGTTTTTACGCAATTAACTTTAAATAATTACATCATTTTTTGTTTGTTTTGTTTTCTTTTGATGGTTTGTGTGGTGGTTTATTATTATTATTTCCCCTCTTTATCATTATTTATTTGTTTGGATATTCTGAAAAGAATATTCACGATGAAAGCTGGATAACTAAATTTAATTAATATTTTTCGATAAGACGAATACGTTTCAGTACCCATTCTTTTCCATTATTATATGATCCTTTGGAAGACCGCGATTGAAGGAAATGAAGGAACATATAAACGGTACGACGAAAGTATGTATATTTATTTCTATTTTTATTACGTTATTTTTGACATTCCATGCACACTCCTTGATTCCTACCTTGCGGGGCGGAGTCTTGCGGCTGGAGGTCCCCGGAGTCTACCAACTTTTATATAAATAAATAAATATTTATATCTCCAATACGAATAGAGGGCGGCGTGTCACGATGGAGTCCATCAAAATGTATTTATATTTGGATCAAACATCGAGAGTGCGGCGAACTCACTACCGCTCCAATATAAACCCTCTTTATCCCCGTCCTATTTAATTTACACATATTTACATAATTTTAGGATCCATCCAGCAATATAGGCAAAAAAAAATCTGTTTGGAATGCTGTGTGAGGGGAGTAAAGGAATCTCTCAGCCTTTCTGCTTCCTCTCTTTTTCCCATTTTCCGTTTTTCCCATTTCTTTTTTGGTTTTTGGGTGGGGAGAGAAGTGTCGCGTGTTTGTTTGTTTGGTTTTAGTGTACGTTGGCCTTTGCACACAAATGCACAAATGTACAGAGAAATCTGATAGAGAGGCCATGGGTCATGTTGACCAGCTGCTGGAGGAGTACCTTCGTGTCATTAACTCCAAGGACGATGAGATACACGAGCTTATCCGCGGCCTCGAGGAACGCCGCTGTGAGCTGCGGAAGAAAGAGGACACATACAAAATAGATGTGGTGAGCGCGCGGCAGAAGCTGGAGAGGGCACAGAAGAGAGTGAAAAAGATGGCAGAAAAAGTTCAAAAGGGTGATGAGCATATTGAACAGCTTGTGAAGCATAACGATGCCATGAAGGTGCAGGCGGACGAGATGCGGCGGAAACTAAATGAGGCCACTGAAATGTTAGAGGCGAATAGAGAAAGGCACTGCCGAGAGGTTGAGGAGTTGCGACGACAACACGCTGAGGAAGTTCGGTCTCTTCAAGCGGGACAAACTCATTTGCGGCAGCAGCAGGAGGCCGCGCAGAGGGCAATAGAGTCATGTGAAGCGAGGGCACAGCAGCTAACTATAAAGGAAGCGGCTCATGAAGAGCTGAGGAAGGCATTAGCGGACGCGCGTCAGGAGATGGAGTCGATGGTCTCAGCAAAAACGCATTTGGACGCCTTGGCGAAGTGCGAGGAGTCTATGCGCTCCCAGAGGGCGACGACAGCTGCCGAGATTGACGACTTGAATGCGCAGTTGTTGAAGACGAAGCGGGCCGCTGCTGAGTATAAGGGTGAAATTGAAGATCTGAATGCGATGTATGCGCAGTTGCAGCAGAAACTTGCCGATGCTCTTCGTGAGGAGAAGACGACACGCCAGCTGCTCGATGCGGAGCAAGAGTCGAGGAAAAATTTGGCTGCAATGCATCAGAAGGAGATGCAATTAGCCCGTGAGACGGCCGAGAAAACGGCAGCACAGCTCACTGCGACGGTGGAGCAGCTGCAGCATGGTCAAGTCAGGATACAGACATTGGAAGGGCGACTTTCAGAGGTCTGTGAAGCGCTTGAGCAGGAACGTAGACGAGGCAGTGAAGAGCGTGAAAAGACGTCATCACAATTAATGGCACTGAAGGCAGAATTGGTGGAGCAGCAGCAGGAGACGGAGCGGAAGCAACGGAAGTTGGAGGGAAGCTCAACCGAGCTCAAGGAGCTTCATGCTGCCATCGCCACCGCAAAGGAGGAATACCTGCGCTGCACCGCCGAATTCAAGGAGAAACTGGCACTTACGACACTGGAACGAGATCGACTGCGAGAAGACCGTGACCGTATCAATTATGAGCTGAAAGACGTGGAGCATCAACTGAGCACTCTGCAGGAACGCTTCTCAGAGGAAAGGAGAGCTCTCACTACGCGAAATGAGGACGCCAGCATCGCCCTTGAAAGGATGAAGGATCAGCTGAGGGAAAGGGAGCATCAGTCACAAGCGTTGATTTCCGCGCAAGAAAAGCGTTTGCAGGAAATGGCATGGGCACATAAAACAGAGCTGACAGAGTGCAAGAGAGTATTTGAGGGTGAAGTTAATGAACTTCGCCAGCGCTTGAACTCTGCGAACGCAAAGTTGGCAGAGGAATTTGCTGAAAATAAAGCGAACCAACGCGAATTGCAGACTGCGCATGAAGCTATGCGAAGACTTTGTGAGGAAAAAGACAAGCATGCCTCTGATGCCCGTGAGACCGCAAGAGCGTTGGAAGATGCAAGGCGCGAGTCCATGAGTCTGCGGGAGGCACTGGCGAAGCAACAGCAGTTGGTCGATGTCGCCTCAGAGAATGAAATGCGACTGCGAAAGTCAATGGAGAAGATGGAGAACGAACGCGCGGCGAATGACAGGCGACAAGAGACCATTGCAGAGGCTCTTAGGACTGCAAAAGAGGAACTTGCGGTAAGTCGCAATGAGTTGACACAACTAAGGAATGAACTTGCGAAGGCACAGGACGAACGAGCCAAAAGAGAGTTTACGGACAGTGCGGCACGGCTGCGCGAGTCGGAAAGGCGCGCCGAGCAGCTGGAAAGGGAAGTGGCCACGATGCAGCAAGAGCGACAACAGCATCTTGCGTCGTTGGAAAGGTTACGTGCGGAGTGCGAGTCCATTCAAGCGTCGGGGCGAGATGGCAGGGACGATGCCTTCCAACGCCTGGATGCAGAGCTGCAGCAAAAGACGGCGGAGTACAAACGCGTCACACAGCATGCGAGGGAAGTGGAAGAACTTGCAAAACGCAGCTCCGAGGATCTGGAACGTGAACTTGCCCAGCGTGACGCCACCATTGGTTCGATGCAGCAAGAATTGTCGCGTCTCGCGGATGAACGCGCGAAGGTGGCGGTGCTTGAGGAGCGAATTAACCATCAGGCGGAGTTGAGCCGTCGGGATGCTGACCTCCTCCATAATCGCATCGAATTCTTGGAGAAGGAGCTTGACGCGCGCGAAGTGCAGCTGCAGCAGAATGCAATGGATGCAGAAGAAATGACGGGGCAGATTAGTGCGCTGCAAAGTCGCGTGGCTGAGCTGGAAGAAAAGGTTGTTCAGAAGGAAAAGAAACACGCCATGCGGAAGGAGGCGCTGCGCAAGGCACTGGAGCAGGTTGATGCGGCCACGGAGAAGAAGGCGGAGGCAGAGAGCATGCTGGCGAGGTCGAAAAAGTCACGCGGAAAGAGCAGCGAATCCTACAAAACTGAGATGGAGCGGCTTCAGGAAGAAATAAAGTTGGCTCATGCGGCGCAACACGCGGCAGAAATGCGATTATCGGTACAGGAAGAGGCGCTGGCGGAGGCGAAGAAGGCTTTGAGCAGCACTCAGGAGTTGCAATTGCCGCAGTTGACACGTATGATAGAAGAGCAAGATGTGTCTCATGCCAAAACTTCTGAGGAATTGAATGCAGCACGTGAGCGAGTAGATGTTTTGGCCCATGAGTTGGCGCTGGCACGAAAGAAACTGCGTGAACTGGAAGAGGCGAAGGAAGCGGCGCTACAGTACGCAAAGGATACACAGCGCAAAATCGCTGCGTCATACAGTCGCCTCGTTTCAAATATGGCGGAGGATGCCATGATGACAAAAGAAATGTTTGGTGACTTTGCCCTTGCTGTCACAACTCGCTCATTCTATCAAGTGGGTAAAATGGTTCACGACGGGTGGGACATTGTCGCGTCGCTTAGGTGGCGGTCAGGCGAGGGGATGAGGCAGCAGCGGTCAAAGATGGAGCGTGAGGTGGAAGAATTGAAGCGGGTACATGCTGACGAGTTGCAAGCGGTGCGGGATGAGCGAAACAGGGAAATTTCCAAACTGGTTCTACAACACGGGGCCGACATTGCGCAGTTGCGTCAAGAACTGGTTCATACAACAGAGCGGGTCTCCATGGAGCGGGAGACGGCACTAAAGGAACATCACCGCAAGGAGGAGCAGTTTCAGCGAGAAAGGACGGAGCTAGAGCGCGCGCGGCTGGAGATTGCTCACCGCGGGGATCAGATTGCGGCGCTGAAGGAACAACTCCGCGAGTTTGAGCAGCGGTCGGGGGCGGAGCGGAAAATGCTTGATGAGGAGAGGCGCACCCTTCAGCAGCAGCAGGAACGAATCCGCCGACGTCTTGAAGAATGCACGGTGGAGCATAATCAGAGCGAGGTGGAGGTGCGGGAGTTGCGCAGCGAACTTTCGGCGGTGCAGCAAGTCCTGCAGGAAAAGGAGAATGTGTTGGCAAGCGAGCGCGAGAGGGCCCGTGAGGAGAGCCGTCGGTTGACTGCGCTCACCGCCGCCAAAGAGACGCTTCATAGACAAATAGAAGAGCTCCGGCGGCAGATTCAGTCGCTGCAGCTGCAGCTTTCGGTGGCACGACAGGGGGCGCAGCAGAGCAATCACACGGCTGCCTCCCAGCACAGTCGAATGGAGGAGCGCGTCGCGGAGCTTACAAAGAGACTGAACGCGGTTGAATCGGAGAAACAACAGCTGGATCGTCAGACAAATAACGACAGAAGGAAAATTGCTGTTCTTGAGAAAGAGCTTGCCGAGTCACGGAAGCGAGAGGCTGAACTCTCCAGCCAACTTCAGGCGCGTAAATCTGAGAACTCGGCATTGAAGGAACGTTGTGCCAATCTTGAATCGCTTAAAAACATTGGGGAAGTCACCCTTGCAGAAACACGTTTGCGGGAAAAAGACCTCCTTGAAAAAATTGAGGAGATGCGCAGTGCGCAGCAACTCATGCAGCTCTGCTTTGACAAGCAACAGGAACAGCTAGAGGTGGGTCGTCGAATGCATGAACAAGACATCAACCGAAGTGGATTGCTATACAAAAATGATCGCTGACGGGTTTTTTTGATGCTAACTGCTCAAGTGATTTTTTTTTGGGGTGGGGGGGATTGAGAGGGAGCCGCATGTATGTATTTCTCTCTCTCTCTCTCTGTGTGTGTGTGTGTGTGTATTCCATATTGCTGTTGTTGGGGGATAGAATGAAATGATGGCTTTGGTCGTTGTTTTTAGGTGGAGTTTAACTTGTTGATTTTTGATCTGAAGTTTTTTGTTTTACCCTCTTCTCCGCTTTACTTTTTATTTTTTTTTTTTTTTTTTTTTTTTTATTATTTTCTCTCTCTCTCCTTTTAAACTCCATTTTTATCCGCTGTCGCTCTTTCAGCAGCAGAAACGGCCATGGATGAAGTGCGGGATGGGATCCATTATGCCTGGAAAGGGGCCATGCGTGGGGCAAAGAAGGGACTGAAGCTCACAAAGAATGTGCTGCGCAGCATTCCTGTTGAAAGGCTGCGCGTGCCAGGCCAAAACGGCGTGATGAGTCGTACCGGAACGTTGCGGCGCCTTTTTCAGCTGCGATACGGTGCACAGATAGACAATGAGCGCGGTGAGCGTGTCGCTGCGGCGGAGGCGACGGATTTTGAGTCTGAGGAGGAGGAGCCCCTCACCGACCAGCAGCTGCACGAGCACGTTGACAAGAAATACTTTGACAAGTCCTATGAGGCGATGAAATACGAAATCACACAAATGGAATTTGTCGATGGTAGGGGACATGGCGGTGATGATACACAGCAGCAGCTGCAGCAACTGCAACGACAGGCAACGGAGGCATCAATACGTGAGCTGCGGCTGAAGTGTGATCTTGTGAGCGCCACGCTTAAGAAGCGTGTGCTTGCAAACAGCAAAGGGTTTGTTAGCGGCGTAGAGGAGATAAGACTTATTAACGACCGGCTCCTGGAGACATCCAGCGATTGTAAGAAGGGACGCAATATCATTCGCAAGGCAAAGAATGCGGCGGCGGAGCAAATGAAAATATTGGCATATCACCGCAAACGCGGCAACTGCAAAGCTACGCTATCTCTTCTTGAGGCGATGCGACAACTCTATTGGAAACGCACTCAGCTCATGACGCTTATCGAAGGTGGTAAAATTTTCGAAGCGGCGGAACTGCTTCAGCAGCATGGTGATATTGAGCACGAGGATCGCATTCAAAAGATGCACTGCATGGGCCGCATTATCGACGAGTGGAAGGAGTACCGTGATAACAAGGAAACACTGAAGCGTTGTCAAGAAGTTTCACTTACGGAATGCCTGACAGCAAAGTTTATCCCCTCAAAATATTGCAATGCATTTGAGGCTTCATACGCGCTTGGAACATCCGATCATGTTTGTGTTCTTGTCGTAAAGACGTTGTGGAAGTCTGCAGTGTACATTCTCACAAAGTCTCTTATAGAAGTTTCTGACATCAAGGAGGAGGACGTCTCTATCGCTGATATTGCCGCGGCAATTCACCCAGATCATCTGATGCTTTGTCTTTGTCAAATGTCCGCCAAAATAATGGACTTTTTATTTCTGTTTGCCACCGTGCGCAAACTGCATAAAGACTCCAGTCGCGCAGATTACCCGCTTGCTACACTGCACGCTGCAGCGCTAGAGGAGATCACAAAAGTAGGCCATAAACTTGGACAGGATTTGGTGGAGAAGATTGCTCTTGTGCTGGACAAGTTGCAATTGGGTTCGGTTGACGTGGAGCGGGTTCTGCACCTGTTTTTTGTAGTCAGCATCCTAATCGAGTCTATTTCTGTATTGGGTCTCGAGAAGAGTGGACAAGCCGCCGCTCGGACGCAAGTAAAGGCGTCTTTGGTGCGATACATGACGAAACAGTTTCAGGAACCGAAGGCCATTCAGATTTTAAAATTTATGGCTGAGGATGCCTGGGTTGTGGGTGGGGTGAGCGCGTTGGAACTGCAGGTTGTGTTGCCTTTGCCGCCCGAGACGTACCGTTGCGCGGTGCGGGAAGTGAAGGGGTATCTCACGGAGGCCTCCATTGACGCTCCGGGAAGCCACGAGAATCCATTCTACGCCACCCATATGTTGACATTGCAAGATACCTCGCATATGGTGCAGACGGAGTCTTTTCGCGAAGACGTTGCTCGTCGCGGGGCGCAAGGAATACCCTCCATGCTAACAGCGTCATCCGTTGCTGTTGCGAACACGTTGCTAGAATACGTTGCGAGGATTGTAGCACGCTTTGCACCGTTAGCAACGGAGACACTTGGTTGGGCAGAAGATCTTGTTAGTTTATATGTTTACACGGCAGCGGATAACTTTGTTTCGATCTCCCGGGCAGTGCGACTAGAGCACCAGGTGGATTTGAGCGAGTCGACACAAGCGACACTTATTGAAATGCGTGCAGGGGCAGAGAGGGCGGCGCGACAATATACAGCTGCCGCTGTCTCTTCCACCTCCCCTTCTTCCTTTACTACGGAAGATGACCTCCACGGATCTTTTCCTCCACGTGTTTGGAGCCGCATCCACAACTTCATGACAAGCCAGACGCATCAATACGCTCTTGTTAGCCGGGCAGTGGCAGGACAATCATGCGTGACGCTTGTTCATCTTCTGGAGACGACCATACGATCCGTTGCCCCGTTGCTGCCCCAGGTGACTGTGGAACAACGCCTTCAACGCTGCAATAGCATGAAGGCTGCTGCTGAGGAACTGTTGCATGTAGGGCTTCATCGTTTATGTCAGGCCATTTTTCCCATGGAGAACGTCATTCAGAGCATCAGTAAAATACGGGCAAACGAAAAGGAAGTGCAAGCAAGTGTCTACGTGAAACAAGTTGTGGAGGAAATGGGACTACTTAACGCGAAACGTCAAACGATGCCGACGCCAGAGCTGGAGCAACTATTTATGAAACGCCTTATCTTTGCAGTTCAGATGACATTGTTGAGAGAATACTGTAGGTTGGCCAAGAAGAAGCTTTCGGATGCCTTCATTATGCAACTGTCAGTGGATGCACAGAGTTTTCAACAAAAAGTAGGGGCCAAATTTGGCAAGGCTCTACTCGTCCTACCGGATCTTCTTTCAAGCTTTGTGAAGGCCGGATTTATTGAAGAGAGGGAACAGCGATTGGAGTGGGTAAAAACACATCACGCAGTTTACTGCACTGTGGATATGGTCCAATGGTTTTCTGGCGGCGATCGTACCATGAGACTGCAGCTGGAGGACGTTCTGGCGCAAGTGAGGCACCGAGATGCGATTCCTGTCTTGCCATTTCGATAGTAGTTGGTGCCATCTGCGCCACTAAAAAAAATGCTTCCAGTTTTGTTTTTGATTGTGGTCGTTTTTTTTGTTGTTGTTGTTGTTTTTTGGAGTGAACATGGCTGGTTGAGGGAAAGATTGGGAGGGTTGAACGCTTGCCCATATTTTTCACAATTTTTTTTCTGTTGTTGTTGTTTTCTGGAGGTGATGCTGTGGGGTTCATGCGAGAGGTTGGGGGAGGTGAGTAGAAGATTGAGGTGTTTTTTTGTGTTTGATTTTCGTTTTTCCCTTTTTTCTTGGCAGCACTTTTACTCCCCTGCAGATCCCAGCTGTTGGCGAGGGCTTCCGCAGCTGGAGACGCGGGAGGGGTCCCAAGGAATGTCCCGTTTGGAATGCCGAGCCCGAATGGATGTAATGGAACGGTGAGGGAAGCCATTGGAAGGGATTTTGGCTCCACGTGTTCCACTTGCACTCATATTCCCATTGGTGGGTCTGAGAGCCCGGCGATCTCAAGGCTTGCACTCTCAGCTTGTGTGTGTGGATGTGTTTTGTTTTGTTTTTTTGAATTTTGTGGAGGGATGTGCATCTATACAGGACCAAATAAAAGGGCAGGGGCCTTCATCGATCCATCCTGTTTGTTTACAATTTGATGACTGAATTGGTTACCAAAGACACCGCGTTGCAGGATAGCGAGGAGTAGTTGTCTCGTCCATCTCACTCAGCCCCCGACGACGACTACTCTCCACGCAGAGGAAAGTCCGACGGTTGTGGGACCCCGGGAAAAACCTGCCACTTTGCGGGGTTACGGCGAGCCCGGCTATCATGGATTGCTTTGTGACCCAAACTGCCCACCGTTGATGTATGCATGTGGACTCAACCCCTTCTGAAGTGGGAAATGTTGAGCCCATCAAAATAAACTGTGATTTTCTTTTTTTTGTTGTTGTTGTTGTTGTTCCGTGTCTCTTTGTAGGAATAGGAGGAAATGTCTCAGCCAGACGCATATTGTGTTTTCTTGCTTCGCCGAAAGACATGGGAGTTTTGCAGTGTGCCTCTCTCTCTCTCTGTGTGTGTGTGTCTTTTTTCTCTTTTTTCCTTGTTTGCCCCATTCCCTTTTGTCTCTCTCTTGCTTGCCTGCCCTGTGTTGTCCCTCATTTATTTCTCTTCCCTTTTCTTGTGATGCAAATGCATACGTGTGTTGATGCTTCCGGCGCAGGAATTTCCTCAGATATTTAATGAAAAGTCTTTTACTAGCGTCCAGCTTGGCGGTGGCGGCTGGTTGGGCGTACGTGCGGCACATTCAGCTTCCTGCTGGGCCATCGCGCCTCGATTGGGGGGCATGTGTCTTTGGACATCGCGGCTGCAGAGGTGTGCCGGGAGTGCCAGAGAACACACTGGATGCTTTTAAGTACGCCCTTTCGCGCGGTGCGGCCGGCATAGAGGTCGACGTGCGGCTGACGAAAGACAACGAGCTCGCCATATTTCATGACTTCTCTTGCAATGGTCACCTGAAAGGGGTGGAGACAACAAAGCGCATAGATGAGCTCACACTTCTCGAGCTGAAGAGTCTTCCGTTTCAAGCCGATCCAACAGGACAAATACGCCTGCCAACATTAGAGGAATCGCTCCTGTTTTGTCGGGAAAACAAACTCAAGATGCTCATTGAAATCAAGGAAATGCGGAGGGCGCGGCTTTGCGCAGACAAAGTTTTGGATTTGTACCGCCGCTATCCAGATTATATGTATGAGCATACAGTCATTCTTGCGTTCAACCCGGCGGTACTTTATTATGTGCGA